TGAAAAAAAAAAAAAAAAAAAAAAAACCAAAATGATTATCAAACGAGTTCACGTGCAGTTTGTTTGCTATGTGTGAACAACAGCGAACCTGCAAATCGGCCATCATTCCAGGGTCTGATAGAAAGGTTGAGAGAGGTGCAGAGGAAGTTTGCTAGTCAATTACAGGCAGCTCGTTTTGGTGGAGATAATAACCCTCAAAAGGAAACATAAAACCCCAAAAGAGACTTAAAAAAGTTCTTATAAGTGGTTGATAGTTGGTGAGAGCAGAGCATAGGTTTAAAGGACTTCCCCTCCCATTATGGTAATGTATGGTTGCCATTGGAGAAACCAAAAAGACTTCTCAGAGTGGCAGTGTCTCTTATCAGCTGGGCCGAGCTTCATGGTGGTGGTGGTGGGTGGGTGGGTGGTGTCTTTTTTTTCTTCCCCTTCTTTTATAAAGTAAAGTATCATAATAATAATTTTATATATAAAAAGAAAAAAAAAACATTTTTATTTTTATTTCTTTGGGAGGAAGAGGGTTTTTGTTGTCGGGTAGGTAGTGTTGTTTTGATTGGGAATATGTTAAAATGTCACCCAGTTGGTGTAAATGAGTTTCAGACCACTTCTCAAAAAGTTGTACAAAGATTGAAAGCACAAACTGCCACAATTCTTTTCTTTTCGGTCTCTCTCTCATTGTATTGTATTTGTATTTGTATTTGTATTTGTATTTGCATTTGTATTTGTATTTGCATTTGTATTTGTATTTGTGGTGGAAACAGCCTTGTCGGTCATCCTCCTCCTCTTCGTTTTGGACTCTTCTGTTTGGTTTCCATAATAAAACTTCTCATCTTTAAAGGAATCATTAATGGGGGCAATGGCAAACCAAACCCGTGAACACCTGCCAGTTCGCCAAATGGCTTAAAGGCAATCTGATAAGGTTTGCAGAGTTGTCAAAAAGGAGAGAAAAAAATGATTCTCAGAAATCCTATGGTTCTATGATTCTCAGAAAAGTTTGCCACACAGAGGATGGATTAGATAAGCTGTTATCTACATTGAACATGAGAAACATGGCAAACAATGTTAATTTAACCTCAACTTCGCTTGCGATTATGTATCTTGACAGCTGCTAGCTCTTTCTCTCTGAAAGAAGCAAAGACAACAACTACTACTTCTGAGTGAGTAAACACTCCATGCTAAATACTTACAAATCAAATCCAATATCAACATCCGATTTTTCCTTTCCGAATGGGCGACTACTATGTGTATAAGATATAGATACATATATATTTCCCAATGATGTGAAGGAACTCATTATTTGCCAACAATTCCAAGTCGCTTAGTAACCAAAAAAAAGTATATCATAACATGGCCTTCACCATTTACCTCAATATCATAGCCTTCCGATCGGCTTCAGCCGATGCAGCGATAGATGCCATTGCCTGCCACCAATCGCAAAACAAGAACACACGCAATTAATTTTTCATGAGCATCGAAACAACGTAAATTAAAAGGAACTGATAGAACAAAATGTCAATATATATGCAAAAATTAAAATGTAGGAAGAAAAACAAAGTCTCTCTAAACAAAGTCTCCCAAATTCAATCATTAGGTTAGCTAAATTGCTAGTCAATTCAATTCCTTCCTATTCTAAGCAAAAAGGTAGAAGCAAATACCTCTTGAACACGAGTGGAATCGAGTTGACGGTCTTCAACGCGATCAGTGAGCTTATCGAGAGCCTTGCTCTGTTGCTGCATGTCCTTAGAATCCACCAGCATCTCGACTCCGTCGTCTCCACCTTCCATTTCTGTAAAAGTCAGTCACTGATTGTTCAGCGCTGTGCTCTGGAACGAACGGCGTAACAGTAATTGTGGTGATTTGTAAAGACGATAGAACTTGTCACGTCTCTTCTGAGAATCGAAACAAATCAGCGACGGCAAGGAGCAAACACCCGCAAACACCAGCAAACCCCTCAGTTCCTTCTCGTCGACCGTGAGTAACTTGCTGAGACGTGTACAGAGAAAAGAGGCGTCCATGGAAATAGAAAGCCCAAATCCAAGCCCAATAATAAAAGTAAGCCCAATAATAAAAGTAAGCCCAATAATAAAAGTAAGCCCAATAATAAAAGTAAGCCCAATTAAAAAGCCCAATCGTATTGATATCTAATTTATTAAACTAATTTGATTTGAGGGGACAATGAATTAAGATATGATAGAGAATTATACGTAAATTTCTCCCAACAAAATAGAAAAATCCCAAGTTTGAAGGATTCGATAAAAGAAGAAACACAATTTCAAGTTGATTTCAGTGTTGTCTGTTGCTGTTGCACCTTTGCCATTGCGCCGATGGAGGTTAACGTCAACGATGAGATTTGCTCGTTTCTCAAGATTTGCTCGTTTACCAACACGCAATCATCTAAGAATCACTCCATACCTCATCCAGTTCCATGCCGCACCACTTTTTAATTCAATCTCCGTTTGCTCGTTTCCAATTTCTTGGCCGTAATGGATCGTTCTTCGCGGGAAAATCTCATTCTCGTAAACCGAGAACCAAATGCGATCGCGTACCTTACTATCAACCGTCCGAGGTCTCCGAATTCGTTAACGAGGCCGATGATGAAGGATTTGGCTCAGGCGTTTAAGAGCTTGGACAACGACGAGTCCGTTCGGGTCCTCGTGCTCTCTGGATCAGGACGAGCGTTTTACTGCCGCGGAGGACGTGTTTAAGGGAGATGCGAAGGATGTTGAATACAATCCGGTCGTGCATATGGAACGTTGCCGGAAACCGATCATCGGAGCGATTGATTGCAGGCTTCGCCATCACCGCCGCGTTTGAGATCGCGTTGGCCTGTGACATACGCATCGCTGCAAAAGGAGCTAAGTTCGTCGATACTCATGCTAGGTTTGTCGTTTTACTTAGTTCACTCTTGTTTTGTGCGCTCGAGCGATTCTTGCTGGTTATAGTAGTTAGGATTAGGGCAAAGACGATGTGATTTTCTGAAATCCACTGGCAGTACTGTTCTATTGAAATTACCAATTTCTGGAAATGTTTGTGCAGATTTGGGATATTCCCTTCATGAGGGTTATCTCAGAAACTTCCACGAACAATCGGAGTAAACAAAGGTCGTGAAGAGGAAGCAGAGTAAAGGGGTTTGGTAAATCAGGTGGTTGAAGGAGGTGATTTGTTGAAGAAATCTAGAGAGGTTGCAGAGGCCATTTTAAAGAACAAGTCGGCCATTAACGATGGCCTGAAGCTGGATCTTGGCCAAGCTCTTGCTCTGGAACAGGTAATTGCCTTCCCGAAGCTGTTGATTATTGAACCTTGAAATTCTCATTCTGACATCTTCTAAAACTCGAAGTTTATCTCCAAATTGGTACCTAACATTTGAGTGTGGATAAGCTTTCCATCTTGAAAGGTCAATGGTTCAATCATGAACACAGCATAAATTTGAAGCACCTTTTGCAACTGGCTGATTGTTTTGTTGATGCAGGAGAGAGCTCATGAGTATTACAATGGAATGACCAAAGAACAATTTCAGAAAATGCAGGAATTCATAGCTGGTCGGACCTCCAAGAACATGTAGTTTCCTCAACGGTCAGTAGATTCCTCCCTACTTTCATTTACATCTGTAATTTAATTCTAGTGAGTCAGAAGCCTCTGTCCCATTTGTTTCAAATAGCAGTCCAGATAGGCATTTTTTTTAGGCTCTTTTTAAGATTTTTAAAACGTGTATGCTAGGAACAGGTTTCAACACTTTCATAATGAATGCTTCATTTCACTCTCCAACCGATCTTAGATCTCACAGTCAAAATATTCAAAACCAATAACACTAAAATATACAAAACAAAGCTGAAGTGGGTAGGTGTTGGTGTGGTACTTTAAAAGGGTTCAACAAAGTTCTTTTTCACGTGTGAGGGAGTAGGTGAGTTGGTGAGAACCCCACTTCATCAATAATTTGTGAGCCCCACCCTCGATTGAACTAACAGTAAGAAAAGGGTCGTGTAAGTAATATAGGACTTAAAGTAAACAAAGTTCAAATCACGGTGGCTATCTATTTAAAACTTAGCATCCTATCCATTAGTTGAACAACCAAATGTAGAAGAGATAGATAGTCGTATATTGAGAATAGTTGAAGTGGGTAAATCTCTTACGGATGTTTGAGATTATAAAAGAAGATCAATAATGGTCAATTAATTTGCTTAGCTCAACTCAACTCAACAATTTTTACGATGCAACTAGCTAACCCTACTACAACTCAATTCCAGTTAAGAAGAGTTTGTCACTGTTGGATAGCTCGAGGTTCGTAGTGCTATTTCATAGGCATTTTTACTCAACATAGCAGAACTTGTTTGCCTCCATGATTGAAGGTTGTGACATTTGGTACATCTATTATGTGAATATCCCGTTGCATTAAACCCCATGCCGTTGGCGGCAACCTATTTTGTGTATTATTTAGGGATATATGCTTGCTTGGTACCATGAGGAATAGAGACAGGATAGAGACAGGGCGTGCGTATTGCGCAGTGGATTCATCACCCATTTCCCGTCTCTGCAATTAGGCCGAATCCACACCTTTTAATTGCAAACCTACCAACGCATATTCATTGGATCCAAGTGTATGCCTCATTCCTCCTTTTTACCCACCTTTCATCTTTTAAAAGATTCCATACATATATTTGTTCGAGTAATTAAGTTTTATATCATTCTACTCGACCTCAATCAAATATATATTTTGTCCGTGGTAGAAATTCAAAAGAGTAATTTGTCGCTTATAAATAAAAGGTCAATAAAGTAGATTTTTAAAAATAGTTTATATGTTTTTATTTTTGTCCTTCCAAGTTTTATTTTATACCTATATCGAAGTCTTTTTTTTTAGTGTATCCCATACTCTATTAGGCATAAATTAGGGTTTTGTGTTTCATATAATATAATATATACTTTTAATTTCTACGTCGAAAGATGTCCAATAATTTAGGAATCTTGTCTAACAAAAAAAAATTAAATTTTTTAATCTATTAAATTATATAATTTAAACCGGAAATAAATTATTTAAAAATATGTAGAGAGAGGGGAATTAAATAATGTAAAAGAAAAAAGGATAGTGAGTTGTCGGAGACAAATCACGTTAAATAAAATAAAATAAAATAAAATAAAATAAAATAAAATAAAATAAAATAAAACTAAAGCCATGGATGGATGGTGCGAAGCGAACAGATTTGGGTACGCAAGCAAAGAGATGCAGTTGGCTTTAGCTGCGTTGGAAAGGGTACGGCTGCAATTAAAAGAATTGCGACGTGTCTTCTCGGAGAGGCCCCCAGTGTTTAACATATTTAGCAAAAGGTCCTTCCAATTTTATTAAATATTTTATCTTCTAATTGAGTTCGGTCCCTTGCTTGTTATTTGCATTTAAAAAAAAATGTCGGCATGAACCAATTATAGAATTATTTTAAAAAAAAAAAAAATTAAAGATTATAAGAACAAATGGAATAAGATGTTTGAAAGGTGCACGTGACAGCTTCAAAAATAGAAAGTAATTTCAAAAGAAGGGTAAGAAAAAGGCATACCATATTTCTGCTATTTTTGTAATTCCCCCTTTTTATTAATAAAAATCCCAATCACCCCGTGATTCCTTTACCCCATAAATAGCCATTGGATGTAAGACAAAGCTGACTCCGTTTCCACACACCGCCAAATCCATTTGTTTCCGCGTCACTCTCTTAAAACGACCCATCCCCTCCGTCGTTTCGAACCATCCTCTTCACCTAAAAAAAATGGCTTCCGCTCTCTGCTATTCCCACGACGCCGAAGACAAACAACCGCCCACCGCCCTCGAACCTGAGAGATCGCCGCCGTTCAAACGATTTGATATTGTCACGGATTTCTCCGATCACCATTACGCTCACTCCAACTTGTTCCCCAACTGCATTGGATCGGATGTCTCGAAGAAGATCATGCGAGAGTGGAAGATTCTGGAGAGGAATCTTCCGGAATCGATTTTCGTTCGCGCTTACGAAGAGAGAATCGATCTTCTACGAGCCGTGATTGTCGGTCCGGCTGGAACTCCGTATCACGACGGATTGTTCTTCTTCGACCTGGCGTTCAGTTCCGATTATCCGATCTGTCCTCCGATTGTGTACTACCACTCCTACGGACTGCGATTGAACCCTAACCTGTACGAAGACGGCTATGTGTGTTTGAGTTTGATCAATACCTGGGACGGAAAAAAGGAAGAGCGCTGGAATCCGGCGATTTCAACAGTGCTTCAGATTCTGATATCGATTCAAGCGCTGGTGCTGAACGAGAGGCCGTACTTCAACGAACCGGAACTGGACGAGGCAGCGGAGGCGGAGATTTACTCGGACGCGTACAACAAGGAAGCGTACCTATTCTGCTGCAAGATGACGATGCGATTGATACAGAATCCGCCGAAGAATTTCGAGGAATTTGTAAGAGATTACTTCAGACAGCGAGGGAAGGGGATTCTGGCAGCTTGCAAGGCGTATTCGGAGGGGCGCGTTAGGGTCGGGAGGTTCAGTGGAAGTGAAACTGAGAATTGTAGCTGGAGCAGTAGCAGTAGTAACGGTGGTAACGGTACGCATGTTTCTGCCATTTTCAAGGCATTAATGGAGAAGACGCATCGGGATCTGCAAGCAGCTTTTGACTTGTCTAGCCAGGAATGAATGGGTTTTGTTCATTTTATTTTTTTAAAACGAAATTAAATCTCGATAATATTTTGAATGAATGATTGATTTTGGGCATAAACAAAAAAAAAAAAAAAAGTGGACGATTTTTGGGATTTGTGACATGAAATAAACAAATGTAATCTGTTCAAAGGATGTGGGAGTGTAGGGAAGAAGGGGAGAATGGAGAACCCAAGCTGTTCAATATCTTGGCTACTCAAGAAGTTGTTTTAGAGGTATCAATAGCCAAACACGATGGTACCACAACCCCTTGCTTAGTCACGTCTCTCTTCCCTACTCTTACCATATTATATCTTCTTCTAAATTAGTTTTAACTATCGAGTTGGAGTTGGAGTTGTCATTTCGAGTAATACGTACCAACTTCTTGC